AAATCAATAATTTTATTTCGATTTCTTGCAACTAATTTCCATAGATGACTTTGATTTTTATTCGTTAATTCTTGTAATTCATTTTGAGAATCACTGATATGTTGCACAATTGTTTTAATATATTTATATTTATTCAATGGATCTTTGTATAAAGGTCCATCAAACTTATTAATAGTAGATACTAATATCGAAACTATTTCATGTAATTTAGATACATACTGATATACCACTCGATTTTGTAGTAGTTTCCATTTTTTTAAACGGCCAATGGCACGTTCAACAACATTTCGATGAACTATAATATAGGAGAAAGTTCAAAATAAAAAGATAATCGTTCAAACGAAACATACATGTTACTAAAAATCTTGATTCATTAGCTTGTTTAGTTGATAAGTGGGTTTTGCTTTTAGGTATAGATTGTAGTGTTTTTATTTGGTAATGCCGTTTTTTCATTCTTGTATATCTTCTATCTAATATTAAGATATCATTATCTTGTAGAACATTTTTAAAAAACAATGTTTGAGTCATGTTATTATGATAAATATTAACTTCATTATCTTCAGTATCAAATAAATAATTATTATTTGTTAACGAATCAATAATGGTTTCCTCATTATTATGACCAGTGGCACCATAACTACCTTGTATTCCTACAAATGTGCCGTCTAAAGTGGTTATGCAGTGGAATTTCACACAGTTTCGTAACGTTTGTGATGACCATGTTAATTTTTGCAATGCAAAGTCACCAGGTTTTTCAATATATATTGGAAAACCATCCATACAAACTACAACATTGTTAGGATCGATTTGTAATAAATCTTTTGCAAATTGGGGGGTATGTTCATTAATATTTTTTCTGTTCCATGAATTAACACCTAATTCATCGCTGACTAAACTATTATATGGATCTTCAATACATTGATTAAAACATCGAGAAATAAGTTGATGGGACATCCCAAACATTGTACCAGGAAGACGATCACTGTTATCGGTATTACATTTTGTATAAAATAAAAAAATATTTTGTTCAGTTAAGTTGTACTCTGTAGCTAATTGTTGGATTTGTTGCTTAGTTAAGCCACTAAATGATTCGCATTGTTCATTATTTAATGTTTCGTAACATATACGATTAACATCTGGATTCAACTGGTTTTTGTAGTCCGTTGCTACATATGATAAAGCTTCGTGATATGTTGACAATTGTTCATTTGTTATTGGTTTTGTTGGAATAACTAATTCTGTAAAATCAGTAATATCACATGAATGACATATATAATTATGTTTAGAATTAATTAATATTCTGTTATTTGCAAATATGCACTTTATTTTATGTGGAGAAAGCAGTTTTCCTGTAACTGACAATGAACCATTAATTCTTCTTCTTTTGCAAATACGATTATGTATAAATCGATGGCAGCATACACATTGTGTTCTTGTTGATCCTGTGGTTGCTGATGGAAGAAATATTTCTTTAAACGTATTTTTAGGTTATTTTAGCAGCTTTCTATATCAAATGTACTAAAATACAAATATAATATAGAGGATACCAATTGTCGTATTTGCAGCAGTTAGATTAAATAGTTGTGTATTTGAATATTTCAACAAGTTTTGTGTACAGGCTATTTTCAAAGGATTGTCTATGGTAAGTCAATAATAACCATATTAGACATCAAAGTATTGAAAAACTTTGATGATGAGCACCGTTCACTTTGATTAATTCTATGCAATAAATGCAAGTAACACAGTTCCTCATACTATTCTACGGAATGTTTGGAACTTATGTAAACTAAAAACCGACTGATGTGACCCGTTCTCTCAGCCATCTCATCTCACTTCTTTGGATCCTCCTAAAAAAAGCAGCGGCTTTCTTTTTTTTTCTTTAGTTGCTTCTCGCTGTCATCAGTTGAGAGATTGATCTGATCAGCTTGTTTCAGCGTGGCTGGTCTGAATCTAGTGTGTGCGAGATATAGGCGTAAGCATAAAATGTACACCTTTATCTGCATTAGTACATACTATTCAAGTTTATGACTGTAAGAAAAACAAGCTTTGAAAAGAAAAACACAAGAAGCTTTCAATGTTGCACAAGAGTCATAAAACCTCTCAAGACAAGAAGAGTTGGCGTCATGCAATCGAACGAACGACACATTCTTTTTCGGAGAAATCCTCAAGGACGAAGAAAATGCATTACTCGTACTCAAGTGTTGGAAGAAGCATTGCGAACGTTGCTATTTGGACGCATCACGCCATATTCTCTACACAATCTCTATTGTGCGTCGCCAAGAAAGAACGAAAAGAGTCTGTTTTCACTTTATCTCGCGGCATATGACGACAGAACAGAATGAAAGATTCGTCAAGGTCGCGCAAGAAGTGCATATTATTGGCAGTTCGAAACGACTGTTTCATGTAACATTTGCACAGTCACAAAATTGTGACAACCAATCTGCTAACACTTAATGACCAAAGAACAAAAATAAGGATCGATCTTCAGAGATTCAAGCGATAGCACCGTCTCAGATACTCTTTTACAACTAGTTCAGTGTGTTTCGTAACCCTTAGTTGCTACAGCTCATGTTACGATTGTCTCGAACGACATATCCCAAGGAGTTGATTACAGAGTAGGCTAACTACACAGGCTTGTCTACGCAATGTATTGATCAGCGTCAACTACTCTGTCATTATTTTCTTTGTTGAGAAACTATACTAGTCTCCTTCTCGTGTCGATAAACTCACCCCCCTGGTCATTCAAGATATTCAAATAAAATTATGTAAAACACTAAAAGCTAAAACATTTCTTTATTGGAATCAAATAAAGATACGGAATATAAAACTAAAATTCTTTGTGTGAATTTTATGCCAGTCTAAAGATTATAAGACCATCTAGTTCCATTATCAGCGCTTACACGACTGTCTAAAGACATAACTACGGATCGTGATGTGCGTTCCGCATAAATCAAAAACATCAAGCAAATATGCCCGTTGCTGGAATATTTCGTCCTTGTCCACCATTGAGGCTGCCAAACAAGCTAGGCTCGGCGTTTTCAGCAACTGTACGGGGTAGAGTAAGCGTCACGTTCAAGTTGTACCCTCTAGAGTTATAAACAATTAAAATAGCTCCACTAAGTGTATAAATTTCGAACATGTACTGATTTATTAAAATTCGTTGCATCATATATTCTAGTTGTCAACAAATTTACGCTACCATCATGTCATGATCTTCAACTGCTATACTATAGGGGTGCCCATAGATTCTCGACATTGGCGTAGTCAGAGTATGGCCAATAGGTTGAAAGTTATTGCCCAATGATTTTTTGGAAACGATAGCAATTGCCCAATAACAAGTATTTCAAAGTTGAAGAATACATTTGTGAAACCACAACAAAACACCTATGTTCATCTCTAACTTGAAAGTGACAATTCCGTTTTAACAAGCGTCATTTTTTGTAATGGAAATAGACTTTGAGGGTGAGTTTGAGACGCCATGACCGGTTTCGTCCTTGTTTAAGGGACTCATCGGATGGCTGGATTCTCGGTCTACTCTATTGCTAGAGCATCCCTTTAGGTATGAATAGGCCAAATAACTTGACCTAATCATAACCGTCTCCTCTTTTGCTACTGCAAATCCGAAGACTCGCTGCCGCAATGGCAAGTATCAAATAAACGGTGGTGAGTTTGAGCCGCCATGACAGATTTTGTCCTTGCTTAAGGGACTCATCAGATGGCTTGTCTTCGGATACTCCGCGCAAAGGAAGAGCAAACCTTTATATCTCTCAAGATATTGTAGAATACACCTGAAAATAAGCGAAACCTAGACTCACTATCCCTCTTTACAAGTGCCGACGGCAATCAAAACTTTTCCAGCCGAACGTGGCGCCAATGAAAACCGAAGTTTCAGCGTGGCTGGTCTGAATCTAGTGTGTGCGAGAAATAGGCGTAAGCATAAAATGTACACCTTTATCTGCATTAGTACATACTATTCAAGTTTATGACTGTAAGAAAAACAAGCTTTGAAAAGAAAAACACAAGAAGCTTTCAATGTTGCACAAGAGTCATAAAACCTCTCAAGACAAGAAGAGTTGGCGTCATGCAATCGAACGAACGACACATTCTTTTTCGGAGAAATCCTCAAGGACGAAGAAAATGCATTACTCGTACTCAAGTGTTGGAAGAAGCATTGCGAACGTTGCTATTTGGACGCATCACGCCATATTCTCTACACAATCTCTATTGTGCGTCGCCAAGAAAGAACGAAAAGAGTCTGTTTTCACTTTATCTCGCGGCATATGACGACAGAACAGAATGAAAGATTCGTCAAGGTCGCGCAAGAAGTGCATATTATTGGCAGTTCGAAACGACTGTTTCATGTAACATTTGCACAGTCACAAAATTGTGACAACCAATCTGCTAACACTTAATGACCAAAGAACAAAAATAAGGATCGATCTTCAGAGATTCAAGCGATAGCACCGTCTCAGATACTCTTTTACAACTAGTTCAGTGTGTTTCGTAACCCTTAGTTGCTACAGCTCATGTTACGATTGTCTCGAACGACATATCCCAAGGAGTTGATTACAGAGTAGGCTAACTACACAGGCTTGTCTACGCAATGTATTGATCAGCGTCAACTACTCTGTCATTATTTTCTTTGTTGAGAAACTATACTAGTCTCCTTCTCGTGTCGATAAACTCACCCCCCTGGTCATTCAAGATATTCAAATAAAATTATGTAAAACACTAAAAGCTAAAACATTTCTTTATTGGAATCAAATAAAGATACGGAATATAAAACTAAAATTCTTTGTGTGAATTTTATGCCAGTCTAAAGATTATAAGACCATCTAGTTCCATTATCAGCGCTTACACGACTGTCTAAAGACATAACTACGGATCGTGATGTGCGTTCCGCATAAATCAAAAACATCAAGCAAATATGCCCGTTGCTGGAATATTTCGTCCTTGTCCACCATTGAGGCTGCCAAACAAGCTAGGCTCGGCGTTTTCAGCAACTGTACGGGGTAGAGTAAGCGTCACGTTCAAGTTGTACCCTCTAGAGTTATAAACAGTTAATTTAGCTCCATTAAGTGTATACATTTCGAACTGGTCGGGATTTGTTAAAATAATGAGGGCGTCCACCGTTAGGGTTCCGATTCGCGGTTTTGATTTTCCCTTTTTCCCATGAGCTTTCAGTAATAGTGCTCTGGCCCGGCACAAACCCAACAATTGCGCCGCCATTGACAAACTGAGGAACTTTTCCGTCAACCAAGAAACTGCGATTAGTTCCGTCGTACTGGATTTTGTGCGCTCCTACTTTGATAGCTAGAGCGTTCACCACGGTTGGAGCACCTGAATTCATATTAACCGCTCCATGACGAGCGTGTATCTCGAAATCCGTCGACAAGTTCTTGAAGAGAACGGCGTCTCTTTCCGGTTGGAGGGTGAAGTTTTGGTTGCTAAAACCAATGTAGTGGGGGTCATAGTAGACCTGTCCTGTAACGTTGTGCTGAAGAGGACACTGTGCGCGCCATGTTGCTGCGGCTTGTTGAGCTAACAATGACATGATTGTAGCGTAAACTTGTTGACAACTAGAATATATGATAGATCGAATTTCCTGCGTTGATTTTGAGCCGTTTCGATGTTTCCCAAACGTCGAATGTTTCACAGAGCAACTGCTGGGATAAAAACCAAAAGGAGAATGCTGAATGTAACCTTCGACGAAAACAAATCACTCTTCGTCAAACTGTGTTTTTCTGTAGAGCAAACATCGACATTAAAAATACAAACACATACAAACTTTCAATTAAATAGTTGTGGGCATCACTCTCACACGCCTACAATTTCTGCAGAAAAGGAATAAATAAATCCTACAAAGAGAAACGACATTTCACTCTCCATTTGAAGCAGCGTAATTTCTTTTCCTTTCAAGGTAACATTCTCTCTCCTTCTGGTTTATATCCCAGCATTTGCTCTGTCGAACATTCGACATTTGGCAACCATAATAACGAATCAAAACGAACGCCACAAACCCGTTTTACTATAGATCCCGGTAGGCCAAGCACTCTGACGCAGCAAACATGTCAGATTTTGGCAAGAGTTTAGGAGACTTGTGGGCTAACATGCTGCCTCCCAAAACATATCTTTCGGTGAAACATTAGCGTCATTATGGGCCGACAATATCAAAAGAAAAGATGCTTCTGCACAAGTCCACTTTGGCTCCTTGAAAACTGACGTTATTTATATGGGTAAAGTGGATGTTTATGATACCAGGAGCGATGAAAAATCGAGAGAATACATTGAACAACTCTTGAAAAAGAAAGGAATTACCCATCAAGCGACTTTTGACAATCTGGTATTCGATTATCTCAACACTCCAGTCGGAATTCGTGATCAAGTGATTGAGCAGAATATTGATCAAGTGCAAAATCAAATCCAGGTGAGAATGGAGCAGATCCAAGCACAACAACAGTATGAATACGTCGTCGGTTCGTTTGATGTGGTTGAAAGCCATGGGCCGTTCGGTGAAACATTAGCGTCATTATGGGCCGACAATATCAAAAGAAAAGATGCTTCTGCACAAGTCCATTTTGAACATTTATTAAGCTAGTAAACAAAGCCAACTGATGATTCCTTTAGCCGGAATGAAGAAAGCACAACTGAGAAAGCACAACTGAGAAAGAATGTTTAGCAATGGTTCGATGTATCGAGGAATTCAGATCCTATTTATTGGGCCGGGAATTTACGGTGGAAACTGACCATTGTCCGTTATGTAATTTTCACCGCAAATCATCGAAAAATGGACGAGTAGATAGATGGTCAATCGGATTAGGTGAATATGACATTCTTGAAATTAAATACAAACGAGGTAAATGTAATTGTGACGTTGATCTAATGTCGAGGTATCCTCCAACACCAACTAATGCTGATGATACCATAATCACAAGAGATGTTAAGAATAAAATGGATGGCACTACATTCGACAACGATGAGGAACACACTGCTGAAGTCAATGTGCTCACACGATCCGCAGCTAGAGCGCGCACGACAAATGACGATAAGCGCATTACCATCACAACAGATACACCTCCTAATCCAGGACCAAATAAGCAGTCTCTGCAGCTTCGCCCAAGAAATAAAACATTAAACTACCAGGTGTCAAACAATTTACTATCCTCACAATCATCAACAATGAAACCACAATCGTCGAGCAATCCTGCTCCATCATCATCCCTTATGTTTGATTTTGATATTA